AATACAATTCAAGACAAGATGATAAGGAGGGCCCTGCCCCTGAAGGCTTGCTTGCAATCTAGAAATGAAATAGATGTTTGTTTTGGTGAAAAAAAAAAACCTTTGTTATCTTAGTTGCAGGAGCTCAATCTCTATTCACACACTCAATGTACTAAAACCTGCATTTTTTTTTTAAGGGAACAAAAGAAATAAAGACCTTTTTTGCTGTGACTTCAAACCCTAAGATTTGACAGTTTGCTTGTAAAAAAATGAATCAATCAATCAATCAATTGATAAATAAATAAACAACACTATGGGGTTTATTTATAAACGTATTTATTGATAAATATTTCACACAAGATTCATACCATTTTTCCCCCAAGATTGGCACATTTTTCTAATTCTATGATGAACATGTTCGGATTACAAGCCCCCCCACCTATCTGAGTTTTTCTCCATGCAGGCTTGTTTACAAATTTGAATTCAGGACGGCTGTGTGTAGCTTCACCCACACAGCCATGTCATCCATCCCCAGATCATTTGACAGGATCTGTAAATGGAGAAAATACAAGTCACATCTGCCATCGCAGCAAAGGGACTTGTAGTTCTCAATGGAATACAAGTGTGGCGATGTCATTGCACTTGTCGGCCATTGACACTTCCTACCATCCAGGTTATTGAATGCCTGTACCTCGGTTTGGAAAACGACAGGAGAAATAGTCTGCAGTAGCCACATCATTGTACCTGCAATCTTGGCTAGAGCTGTTCCTACTATATATATACAGGCGAAACTCGAAAAATTAGAATATCGTGCAAAAGTTATATATATATATATATATATATGAGGGATGCACCAATACCGGTTTTTCGGTATCGAGTACGAGTACTGGTACTTTGCTTTCGGTACTCGTCGATACCGAGTACCGATACCGGTGCTCCCGCTGGCATGGAGCCAGCATCCCGGGCAATTTGATCCTAATTGGCCAGGAAGCCAGGTTGATGCTGATTGGCTGAAAAGCCGGTTTCCCAGCCAAAGTTGCATAACAGCATCGAGCCGGCTGTTCGGCCAGCTTCCCAGCCAATCAGGAGGCGGGTCATTACTCACCGTTCAGCTTTCTGATCACACTGCAAGATGGCTCCATGTTCCCCTTCCTCTGACCGGGGAAAGTATCGAAGCATTTGTGCAAGTTAGAATACTCGCCCAAATATTCAGTATAGGCAACGATACCGATACTAGTATCGGTGCATCCCTAATATATATACACACATACATACATATACACACACACTGTGTATTTATGTATACACAATGTATATATATAAAATCACTCTCTCTCAGCTCCTCTGAACACGTCTGCTCCTGGCTACACTGTCTGCAGTTCTCCTTGCACACTCAAGGCCACAAACCTAGAGAAGGTTGCGGAGAAACTCTGCCCCTAGTTAGCCCAGTATAACTACAACCAACAACTGGTAGTTTCTGCACAATGTCCACAGACACACGTGTTATACAACAAATGCACTGTGCACAGATTTATGCAAAACCCCAATTTTTCATTACATATACTACGATCAAACAAAGACTCTTTTCGAAAAAAACAAGCCTTTTTATAAGATGTATCTGCAAAAAAAGGCAAGGCAACAGGAATCACTGTATTATTCTTGAAATCATTTTGCTGGTCATCCGACTAGCTTTCTTAGGTCAGAATGTTTTGTGTATTTAGAAAGCTAGTCAGATGTCTGGATCCGCCCAGCTGCGTGACTGACAGCTGGCTCTGCCTATCTAGAGGCAGAGCCAGCTGTACCCTCCCCTGTCCGTTCCGCCAGTCAGCGCTGGCGGATCGGAGAGGGGAGAATCCAGTCCCTCCCCTGTCACGGCAGAGAGCCGTGACAGGTTCGAGAAGTGAGCGAACGCCGGTATGTGTTCGCTCACTTCCCGATCTACTGAGCCGACCTGTGACAGTCTCATTGCCACAGGTCTGCTAGAACTCTGAGGTGAGTGAAAAGCACTCACCTCATAGTTCTCCTTTAAAAAGAAAATACTCTCAAAGTGCCAGGCTTGAGATTCAATTCACTCTCCGAAACTGCGTTGCTGCTTTTTGTGCCTGGCCACCCAGCCAGTAGAAATTGGGCTGAAATACATCTGTCAGACTTTTTTTTACTCTCCATCCTCTTTAGTTATGAGCTGTTTTACAAGTCCTTATAATTTTTACAGCCCCTATTTACTTGTTATTATTATAATTATTAATTTTTATAATCTCTTTTATGCTTGTCATTTTCGATTGGAATATTCTCAAGACTAGTGTCTGATATCAGTGTTACTCTATATCTATATGTATGGTATGGTGTAGCAGTTATTTTGTAATTACTGAATAGGTAAACTCAACATTAATTTATATATATTGCCAATACAAACATTCATTAGACAGCAACTGTGCCTTAATATGTTAGTAGGGATGCACAGATAATTTTCGAGTACCAGTGCCGATACTTGCCATTTTCATGAGAACTCCCAGGGTTGCAGCGGTTGCAGCTGGGACCTGGCTCTGGCGCACCACCACTGTCCTGAAATCATTAGTCGCTATTGTTTTAGAAAAACTGTCACATGACAATAAACAAAAATGTATCAGTACTTGTAAGTACTCGGCAAGTACCAGTACTCGTACTCGCAAAACTAGTACAGGTGAAACTCGAAAAATTAGAATATCGTGCAAAAGTTCATTTATTTCACTAATGCAACTTAAAAGGTGAAACTAATATATGAGATAGACTCATTACATGCAAAGCAAGATAATTCAAGCCGTGATTTGTCATAATTGTGATGATTATGGCTTACAACTCATGAAAACCCAGATCCACAATCTCAGAACATTTTTGGTAGTGTGGGCAGGTGCCAAGTCCTGCTGGAAAATGAAGTCAGCATCCCCATAGAGCTCGTCTGCGGAAGAAAGCATGAAGTGCTCCAAAATCTCCTGGTAGACGGCTAAGTTGCATTAGTGAAATAAATGAACTTTTGCACGATATTCTAATTTTTCGAGTTTCACCTGTATCTGTGCATCCCTTTATTTATATTTATAAAAACAAAATCGTACATTAAAACAGAGATGTACAAATCCCAGGAGCTCCGTGCGCTCCTTACAAATGGCAGCTGCCTCATAATTTTTAAATTTTTCTCTAGTCTAGTCAAAAGTATCGGTACATGTATTCGTACTTGTACCGAGTACTGTACTTGGTATCTGTGCAACCCTAATTGTTAGTATCCTTTTCTGTGTGTTTTTTTTAGCATCTTGTTGATTCATAGATGAGCAGGCTATAAGGCCAGGTTCACACCTGGGCGATCCCGGGACCGATTGCGCACAGTGGTTGTCACACAGCCCTATTGATTTCAATTCGGTTATATCCCGTTTTTTATATTTTGTTGGACCGCCTTTAGCTTTGATTAGGGAATGCATTCGCTGTGGCATCGTTTCCATAAGCCTATGCAATGTCACAACATTTATTTCCCTTCAGAGTTGCATTCATTTTTCACCAAGATCTTGTAGTGATGATAGGAGAAAGTTGGACCACTGTGTAAAGTCTTCTCCAGAAAGATTCTCAATGGGGTTAAGGTCTGGACTCTGTGGTGACCAATCCATGGTTGAAAAAGATCTAATGCTCCCTGTGCCACTCTTTCACAATTTGAGCCCGATGAATCCTGGCATTGTCATCTTGGAACATGCCCATCAGGGAAGAAAAAATGCATTGATGGAAAAACCTGGTCATTCAGTATATTCAAGTAGGCACCTGACCTCATTTTTTGGGGACATAACGTTGCTGAACCTAGACCTACTGTATTATCCAATGGAAGGCTCTGACCTATTTGCTAAGCAAAATCCAGGTGGTGACTTTTTTTTTTTTTTGATGGCAGTGTATACTATATACATACTTGCCTCTTCTGCTGCTGCTCCACTGAAGTAGAATCAAAGGTTGAAGTATCTTCTAAAACCGACACTTCCAGGAATATCTTTCTCCTGTGTCCCCCACAGTGCTCACTGGTTCGTCCCACGGACCCCTATGTCACGACTACGTTCTGTAGTGATGTAGGGGTCAACAGAAAGAACCAGTGAGTGCTGGGGGGGCGCACTAAAACTGACACTGCAGGAGGTGTCAGTTTCAGAAGAAACATAACGCAGCCATTCCTCTTTTTATGGAGCGCCATTTGGTGACGCAGGAAGCAGGAGAGGTAAGTATACTGTCTGCTTTACAGGTACATCTTTTAGAGGAACTTTTAGTTTGTTTTTTCCTTAGTTCTTTATTTATAAACAAAAGGGTGGGGTACAGAAAGCAAAAGAACAATATAGAGGTCACACGGCCTCGCATACAAAGTCAACAGACCTGACAGCAGGTGAGAAAGCAAGAAAATTGAAATGGGCCCAATGGGCCCAGCAGGTACCCCAATCTCAAAATATACTACTACCCGCATCAGATTAGGTCGTTCTCTCTCCCCCAAACCCTTAAGACATTTTGTGACTATAAAACCAAAAAGGAGACATCATATCAGGGTAGACCACATGGCCCCGCCTATCGATATGAGGGGCCAGTGCCAATCGGGTCCATCCCTGAAGGACACACAAAGACAGACAAAACATACAACACGAAACAGAGCGACAAAGAGGGAAACAATATGACAAGGAACAAAAAGAATGGAAGAGACCCTGGTTAGACCCAGGATGTCCAGCTCGGAGCCCACGTAGCAATGGGGAACTTTTAGTTTTGGTGACAGTTTTGCTTTAATAACCTCTAAATTGAAAAAGAAACCTTACAAAATAACTACTTTATGTATTTAAGAGGGAACAACGATCTCTTGGACCCTGTTATTCATTTAGCACATTATCTACTACAGGGGTCAAAATTTCAAGTCCTGAGCTACTAGCCCTGCTTTAAGAGTTACTCGCCACCAGTTGCCCAATATATAAGAAAGACTTGGAGATATAACATTTTGTCATTGATCATAAAATACTTATATATATTTGTTTTTTCTCTAGGTGTCTGAATGGTGGTGTGGGTTTTCTCTTCCTTTTTGGTTGCGTTATGGTTTATTTGGAAAGCTAGAGGCAGCGTAAAGTGCAAGAGGTACAAGCCTTCTTTGTGTACCAGTGGAGCCACCATGGAGCCAGACAGTGGTCACACAGAACATCTACAGCAAGAAGAGACTGCTGGTCCTTCCACATTAGAAGAATGTCTTGGAGAAGCAGGAACCAGTTCTTCAGCTCAGTCACAACTTGGGAACATAACAGTACCCTTAGTTAATTCATCCTCTATTGATCTAGAACCCAAACAATTACAATTTGGGCCCTCGAAAGGAAGTCTTTCAGAGCCCAGGGATACAAAGATGAAGAGACCTCCCTTGTCACGCTTTATATTGGGGTCCTCGGAGGACAATTCTTCTGATGATGAGTTTGCTGCTGGCTCCTTTAAAAATGTCAAAAAGAGCAGTCTCACCAGTAGTAGTTCTCAGACTCCATCCTTATCATCCTTACCAGAAATTGAGCCATTGACCACAACAATCAGGTGAGCATGCATTTTATTCACCTATTCCAGGACTATTAAATTACTTGTCTTTGAACATGAGCCATTAATGTATAAAAGCAATGTAATGAGTGAAACTCGTATTATTCTATCAGGCAGCATTGTTAAATAAGGCTCCTTAATTGACAAAGCTTGTATTTCACCTATCCTCTTAGCTGAAGTTATAGCTAGGAGGAAGGAAGTCTTGAGAGCCAGACATTTTAAAGTCGTTTTTTGCAGGGGATCTAAAGGAAAAAAGAGAGTTAGGCCCCTTGAAACTTTAGAGAGGTCCCATGGAGGAACTGCGTGTGCTACCAGACATCCAATCAATTGAAAAGAACAAACATTACACTGAGTTCCTGATAGTAGGAAACGCAAACAAAACATAGGGCCAAGGGGTGTGGGAAGGGGAATTTAAAGTGTCTGTGTTTCCTGTAGTTAGTGGAACCAATCATCTCTTACATAGCTGTCCTTGAAGGAGACTGGTGAAAAATCTGTGGAAAAGAAAGGTCAAATAGTTAGATCCGAGCTTGATCTAGGTTAGTGTTGGTGTTAGCATTAGGGTCAGTGTCGACATCAGCATTTAGCTCCATTCACACCCAAGCGTCAGTGTTTGAGATGTTTTTACATGCTTTCTAAAAAGCATTTTTGTGTCAGTTTCATTGCGTGTTTGTTCACATTTGTGTGAACAGGGGCCATAGAAGACAATTGGATTCCTTGTGCTCAGTGTTTTGTAGCTCAGAGACTTGAGCTACAAAAGGCCCAGGTGTGAACATGGACTAAGTGCCTTTGTCAGTGTTGGTATGGTATGGGTAGGAGGTTTTATATTTATTGTCAGTGTGAGTGCCAGTATTACCATCAGTCTGTTTAAGGTAGGATAAAAAAAAAAAAATATATGCACACTACTACGGGTACAGACTAAAAATAATACACCCCTATATGGTATCTCCATGCACGTCAGGAGTAGATAAATTTTTTGGTAGTGGGTCATACTAATGGCAAGAAATATACAATTAAAGTTAAAATATACCGTTAAATTTGAAAATAGGAACAGCTAAATTAAAAAATATATTTTCACATATACACACACACACACACACTATATTGCCAAAAGTATTGGGACACCCATCCAATTCATTGGATTCAGGTGTTCCGTGAAATTTCTTGGTACTAAATATTCCACAGTCAACTGTTAGTGGTATTATAACACAGTGGAAGCAACTGGGAACAACAGCAACTCAGCCACAAAGTGGTAGGCCACATGTGCACAGTGCTCAGAAGTCGCCAACTGTCTGCAGAGTCAATAGCTACAGACCTCCAAACTTCATGTGGCCTTCAGATTGGCGCAACAACAGTGCGTAGAGAGCTTCATGGAATCGGTATCCATGGCCAAGCAGCTGCATCCAAGCCTTACATCACCAAGTGCAATGCAAAGCGTCGGATGCAGTGGTGTAAAGCACGGCGCCACTGGACTCTAGAGAAGTGGAGACGTGTTCTCTGGAGTGACGAATCACGCTTCTCTGTCTGGCAATCCGATGGACGTGTCTGGGTTTGCCAGTTGCCAGGAGAACGGTACTTGTTTGACTGCATTGTGCCAAGTGTAAAGTTTGGTGGAGGGGGGATTATGGTGTGGGGTTGTTTTTCAGGTGTTAGGCTTGGCCCCTTAGTTCCAGGGAAGGGAACTCTTAAGGCATCAGGATACCAAGACATTTTGGACAATTTAATGCTTCTAACTTTGTGTGAACAGTTTGGGGATGGCACCGTCCTGTTCCAACATGACTGCGCACCAGTGCACAAAGCAAGGTCCATAAAGACATGGATGAGCGAGTTTGGGGTGGAGGAACTTGACTGGCCTGCACAGGGTCCTGACTACAACACGATAGAAGACCTTTGGGATGAATTAGAGTGGAGACTGGGAGCCAGGCCTTCTCGTCCAACATCAGTACCGAACCTCACAAATGCACTTCTGGAAGAATGGTCAAACATTCCCATACACACTCCTAAACCTTGTGGACGCCTTCCTGGAAGAGTTGAAGCTGTTATAGCTGCAAAGGGTGGGCCAACTCATTATTGAACCCTACGGACTAAGACTGGGATGCCATTAAAGTTCATGCGTGTGTAAAGGCAGGCGTCCCAATACTTTTGGTAATATAGTGTGTGTGTATATATAGATATATATATTTTTTTATTATTTTGGGCCCGTTTTCCTTTTGATAATAAACAAAATCAGAAGATATAATTTACCACCACATAAAGGCCTGATTTGTTCTGAACAGAACAAGGTATAATTTACCTGGATACCTGAAGTAGTTGCAAAGATATGTAGATATGCACAGTTTTACTAACATGCCAAAGTCGCAATACTGCGTTCAGGCATTAACATTTTTTACCTTCCTCATTAACGGGTTAAAACACGCATGTTGACAAAACAAAGTGAAAGTCACACACTAAAGTTGAACGAGAACAATCCATAAACATGTTTTTGAATGTCATTCCGTTTCCAGCCGAGTGGACTTGCCTTCTATATTTAGTTTTATTTTATGTAGTGGGTACAAGACGTTCCGTATCCATTTCTGTGCATCCATAAAGACTTTTTCATATGCTGTTGAGTAATATTGTAGCTATGTTCAGATGTTGTTTATGACGGTGCTCCATGACACAGAAAGATAAAGCTAATGTTCTTAAATACTAAAGGCTAAACATATAAGCAAAAATAAAGATCTGTCAAATGAAAGATTATTTTCTTAGTGCTGACTGTGGAGCAGTGTAATATATTCTCTGAGTATTTCCAGGTATTTACTTAGTCAACAAGGTGACCTTGAAGGTTAAAAAAGGTCTTTTCACACTTTCATAGTGTTGCCTAAGGTGTAATGCTTGGCGGCTAGATAACCTTGTGCATGTAAGACTGAAAAATGCCAGCTGGCTGATCGTGTGATTTATTTACTGCCAATTTGGAAAAGACCAATAAAGACAAGCCTTTACTACACTTGATTTGTCATTGCTCTGTAGCTTCATGTTAACATGTTTTCCTTGATTTCAGTGTGCTGTAAATAAGACATTTGTCAACCAGTTACAAAGTCCTAGATATACTATACATATCACTGATCGTACACTCCAGTCAAAGAACGACACTCCTTGGACTGCATAAAGAAAAGACTTAAAGTAGTATTAAAGGAGAACTATGAGGTGAGGGATTTCCACGCATCCTCATAGTTCAAGCCGACGTGTGACATTGAAACTGTCGCGCGTCGGCTCTATAGATCGGGAAGTGAGCGAACGCATACTGTCGCTCGCTCACTTCCTGATTATCCCCTGCAGAGAGCGTTGACTGTCAGTCCCCCCTCCCCTCTCCGATCCTCTAGCACTGACTGGAGGAACGGACGGGGGAGGGTGTGGGCACAGCTGGCTCTGCCTCCAGATAGGCAGTGCCAGCTGTCACTCACGCAGTTGGGCGGGTCTCGACAGTATTGTCGGGATCCGTATCGGCTGCGGCGCTCTCAGTATATAGCGAGCTGTAGCTCGCTATATACTGAGCTTTGGGTCATGGGAGGACGCTAGTATATGTCCTCCTGTGACCCATAAGAGAACTATGGGATTAAAAAATGTTCAATAATGAATCGAGATCAAATATATATTGCCCAGCAAAGTATTTCTTTACATTTTTGTCCAAACACTTACAGTCATCACGTTTCCCAACAGTTGGCTCCAACTCTCTGAGCTCAGCTTCCCTGTACTTCCTGTCCAGTACAGGATCAGAAGGGGCAGAGCAGCCTCCAACTACTAGCTTGGAGAAGGGAGAAAGGTGGAGTAGGGAGCAGGGAGAATGCCTCTCCTGCAGGCCCGGAGCTGGCATCTCGGGGGGGTCAGTGGGAAGCTGGAGAGGACAGCGGCAAACTTCTGTTCACCGATCTCCTCCCTGTTCTATGGGACCGGGAGAAAGGCGTTTTGCATCACTCCCGGTCCCATAGCGGTCATTGCTTGGCTCCTGAAGCACAGCAATAAGCTATTGAAGTGCAATCAGCACTTCAATAGCTTATTTAGAGTGTAAAGGTGATACTAGGGGCCTTTTGGATGCCCAGTATCACCTCAAAGAGGATTTGTCACCACATATATGCTATCACATGGGGGGCTTGTAAGCCCCCCTATGTGATAGCAATTAAAGTAAAGTAAAAAAAAACAGTTGTAAAAAATATTATAGAATAAAATAAATGTAAAAATAATTTTTAAAACGTTTTTAAAGTCCCTGCAAGTGCATTCATGCCAACACTCGTCGGGCGCGCCTATGTACGAAAAGTTCGATCGCACTACACATGTTGGGTATCGTGAAAGGGTTCATTAAAATTACAGTATGGCTTCTAACTATATCAGAGACAGTAAACTGTATTTAGTATACTGTAAGTATGGCAAAGTGTGGCTAAAGCTGGCCATAGATTTCTTTCAATCAGACTTCATTTAAGGCCCTGGTACAAAATAGTGTTCCTGTTTTACAGTGTTCCCCTGAGGGAATGCAACGGTTTCTTCCCCAATTGGGTCTAGCCAGTACAGCTCGGGAATATGTTGAGAGTACTCCTTCAATTGGGCACACGTGTGGAAGTGAATTGGTCATGACTCTGTAATTGCAATGACAATAGACTGTTTTGTTTTATTTTCTATTCTAAGTGTAGTTAAGTTCAAGCCGAATTATGGACCAAGTCATGTTAATCCTGTAGGTGGTGGGTGGCCTATGTGGAACTCATGATAGCAGCCAGCTTGGAGCAGGAGTATGTGGTAGTTTCATGACAGCAGGTCAGTCAGTGGTGGTGGCCTGTCAGGTTCCTGGCCTTTCAGGAACAACAGCTGTGCCCCCATGTCACATGGGTCTCGGGTGTGGAATGTAACCTTTCCAGGGACCGGACCTGGAACCACGTAAACAATGGAGGCCTCCTATCTATGTATGTGTAAGTAAGACCCTTGCGCAAACCTAATGCCAAACTTATATAATCTTAATGAGTTGTGGAGCCAGT